AGCTTTCCCAAGGGATTGAATCAATCTATATACCTTTTCCAGGCACTAAAAGTTCTCATTGATTCAATTTTGACCACACAGGGTACTGAACAGCTTTAATTGTTGCCAATCTGTTCTGTGTATAGTTCATGGTAGTTTGTTAGCAGGGCACGTGTGTGTTAAAATATAAATAACACAATTTTTCACTTTAGTCATTTTAAGTGTCTAATTCGGCGGCATTAAGTACATTCACAGGGTTGTGTGATCATCACCGTATCTCCTTCCAAAACTTTTCCATCGCCCCACGTGGAAATTCTGTGTCCACGCGGCAGTAACTCCCCTGCCCCTCCCTGGAGCCCCCAGGAACCTCTCACCTGCTTTCAGTCTCTGAATTTGATGGCATTCTTTAAAGCTCCCGAGCACCAAACTTTAGTCTTAATTAAACTCGAAACATCTTTCCAATGGACAAAGCTCCAAGTTAAAAGTTATAATGCAAAGATCTACGCGGGCATAAAAACCTTTGGTTTTTTCCTTTTAATTAGCTCTCTCCGTCCAATACAAAACAGGGAGAATAAGTTCAGTAATAGAGAGTTTTCCAGAACCCTCCTCTCACCTCTAAGATCTGGGTCCTCGTGCAGTGTATCTCGCAACATCGATATTGTTGGTCGTGCTAAAGTAGATCGAGGGTTAATTTATGCTGCAGGCTGACCGTCAGGTCAGGGACCAGCTCGAGGGTCACACCATTGTCTCTGTCGTCTCTGAACATGCAGTTCGGACGCATGTGATTTGCCTCTGCTCTTTAGAGCAGGGCTGTTTATTTATTTTATAAAAAATATTTTATTTTACTTATTTTTAGAGAGAGAGAAAGGATCTGGCTCACAACCTGGGCGTGTGCCCCGGCCAGGACTCCAACCAGCGACCTTCTGGTTTGCAGGCCAGTGCTCAATCCACTGAGCCACACCAGCCAGGACTGTTTTTATTTTATTTTATTTATTTATTTTAAAGATCTTATTTATTTATTTTTAGACAGAGGGGGAGGGAAGGAGAAAGAGAAGGAGAGATACATCAATGTGTGGTTGTCTCTCATGTGTCCCCCACTGGGACCTGGCCTTCAACCCAGGAATGTGCCCTGACTGGGAGTCGAACCAGTGACGCTCTGGTTCCCAGATCAGTGCTCAATCCACTGAGCCACACCAGCTAGGACTGTTTTTCTTTTTTAAATATTTCATTTATTTATTTTCAGAGAGAGAGGAAAGGGAGAAAAAAAAACCCAATGTGCGAGAGATAGGGACCTGGCCTACAACCCAGGCATGTGCCCTTATCAAGACTTGAACCTGTGACCTTTCAGTTGGCAGGCCGGCACTCAGTCCGCTGAGCCATGGCAGCGAGGGTCAGAACAGAATTGTTAACGTGAGGTCCTGAGATGGATCATGGAGGAAACCATTCACTAAGCCCATGAACTTGAATGGGAATACAATTCCATCTTTATTTTAATGAACCTCTCCTCCCATTGAAGGAGAAACCACAGCGTCTTAGAGGCACGTGTCACTTTGCGCAAGTAGCAGTCGGGAGTGTTTCCCGTCACACCCTGGTCGCTCCAGAGCCTTGGCGGCGGCGTCCGCACTCGCCACAGTCGGAAGCCGTGCCGGGCGTAGCGGCTGCTGCCGGAGCTGGCTACTTAATGCCAGCAGAGAAGCACGCATCTCACCACCTCACGAGTTTAAAATACATTTTAATAGCTTTTTATTATATTTAATGTTTTGACTGAATTTCAGTCGAAGTGGTTCCCTTGGCGACTCCATGTATTTACTTCCTAAATTTTACTTCCTAAGTTTTAAAACATTATTCTGAGTGAGGGTCCCTAGGCTTCGCCAGACCACCCAGGGGTCTGAGGCCCAAAGGGGATTAAGAGCCCCCGACCTGGAGGAGGTTCCTGCAGCGACTTCCTCCCCTCAGCATGGCGGTTTTGGTCAGAGGCAGCCTCCCCCCAGCCCCATTTTTAAAGGATTTGGGGAGAATGATTGAAATTTCCTGCTCATTTGTATGAGGGCAATGCTTTGCTATCTCTTAATACTAAGCAGGTGAGAACCCCTCCAGGTCCCAGGAATCCTGTTTCCTCTACCCCAAAGCTTCAAACTTGCTTGAGTTAGGGCACCTGCCAGAGAAAACTATCTGTTCAAATAATTTATTCAAAATTGTTTCTTTGAATTGGTACATCAAATTCATTTCCGAAGGAGTGTTCACTTCCAGGGCCCTAAAATACCTGGCTCTGCATTTCGATGGGGCGGACACAGGTGTGACACCCTGCCCACCGTGCCCCACCCCGCCCCCAGCACGCACACCTGTGTTCCCATGGCAACTGCCTCCTTGGAGCAAGTTTAGCTTCTCATCTGGGAGCAGGATGCAGAGCACTTTCCCGTTTCTTCGTCTGGCCGGTGGGCTCAGACAGGGAAAGCCCTTTCATGTGGTCAGACCTGGGGGCTCTCCCAGGGAGACCCTGAACCCTCAGTTTACCCTGTAGACCAGGTCACCCTTGGTCAAGCCCACGGGCCCAGTCCTAGCCTCACTGTTGGTGGAGGGCCCCTCCCAGGACGGTGTATCCACGGTGGTGGCTTAGCTGTCCATGGCTCTGAGCTCTTCACCTTGCAGACTTTGGGTAGCCAAAGTTACCCTTCTGTGGCTTTGGCAGGGGACACCTAGCCCCACCTCTTTCCCAAGGAAAGAACTGGGGGATCTGACAGCAGTGTTGGACGGGGTGGTCCAGGGCTAGAGAGAGGCTGACAGTCCCTGGGGGTCCCCTGCTGGAGACAGCAAGACGTGTCTCCCTCTTCTCCCACACGTGGGCCTGAATTCCGGGTTCTCCACAGCCCTTCTGGGTGGAGCTGTCCAAGGGAATCCATCAGGGGTCTCACTGTCCTCCAGCCAGAGACCCTCCATCTTCCCCCACTCTTCCTCCCCTCAGCCTACAGGTGATCTGTCCTCCATCACTGTTCTCTTCCTCCTCTTTTGCCCTGGCCCAGCACTCCCCCGCCCCCAGACTTAACCCAGCCTCCCTGGACCCCTGACCTCAATCTACCCACCCCTAACCCTGACCCCAGAGTGATCTATCTAAAACACAACACTGCCTGTCCCCTGTAGCTGCAGCCCCCACCCCAATGCCCTCAGTCAGCCAGAGCACATCCTCCATATGGCCTCAGGGACGGGCCAGCCCTCTGTGACGGACCTGCCTGGCTGCCTGACCAGCTGCCCCATGGGCCTGGCCCGGCCGAGCGGGCACAATAAAGGAACCCCCTGAAAATGCTGCGGCCATCTGTGCACCGGCTGTGGTTTCTCCAGGGTCCTGCGGAGTCTGGCTTTCTGGGAGCACCACAGTGAGTGACAGGTCTCAGCGTTTTGTTGTGGGACCACACTGTGAAGACAGCCTGCTTTTCACTTAACCTCCTGCTGCTGGGTCTTAGTGCAACGTCCCTTGGGAGAGCCTAGGGTGGTGGCTGTCATCTCCTGCTCTCTCCTGAATTCATTTTAACCTGGGGACACCCCAGGAACAGTACCCGACTGCCACCCGGGCGCTGGTGCAGACTCTCCGACGTCCTCATGCCCTAGACCCCCAGTTTGGCAAAGCAACAGCTGTCAGTGCCTCCTGCACTTCCGTGCCTTCCTGGGCACTCAGCCAGGAAAGTGACCCCCACAGTGGCTGGCTGGGTCTCAGGAGGAAGCGATGGTAGAGCCTGAGGGGTGACGCACACTTTGTATGTCGTCTTAACTGCCCCCCCTTGAGGCCACCCCGAATACTTCCAAGGGGCAGGCCCACTGAGGGAGAGGATGAAGCCTCAGGGTTGGGGGTGATGTCGGCTGCTCGTGGGAGCAGGAAACTGTTGGGTACTCCAGCTGACTGAGGGAGGGGAGGGGTGGCCAAACAGCCTTCACCAGTCCCCAGGCCTCTGCTCCTATCAGGGTGGGCTGGGGGCTTGCACTTGGCCTGGCGTGGACCCCAAACCACGAGGGCACAGGGGCGACAGTGCAGAGGGGCTCCGGCCACATGGATGGAGATGCCGGAAGCCAAGGTACAGGCTGCTCGCAGGAGTGCTGGCCTTGTGCCCTCCCTGTCCATGGCTGCCACAGGAGTGCCGCTCCATCACTCCCCCGGTCATTCGGTGGGACAGGACTGGGAGGCTGGAGCAGCAAAGCCCTGGGAGCCCACTGTGAAATGCACATCACAGACGCAGGCCCTGCAGGGCACTCACTCCAGGTCAGGGGAACCACGGGTCTGTGGCCCCGGGTCGGGAGGCAGAGCTTGGATGGGGGAGGCCGAGGTGCCCTTGGGCTCAGCAGAAGCAAGATCCTCCTCAGAGGGCGTGCTGCCTGCTGGCTGGAGGGCTGGGACCCTGAGCAGGTTGAGTCTCCAGGGCCTGGGGACACTGGAGCCACAGCTGAGCCTCCACCTGCGAGGAAGCAGGGATGGGTGGTAGAGGTGAAGGTGGGAGGGCCCTCCAGCCCACTTCCCAGTTCTAATCTAGGTCAAAGTTGGGAAGCCAGCTGTCCCCAAATGGGCTGATGTGCGGGAATCCTGCCTGACCTACCCAAGGATCCTCTTACTATTTCTTAAGCTCCTATTACTATTACTATTACTATTTCTTAATCTAATGCGGGCATTCAAGGCCCAGGACTTGGCCCCACCCCCTTCCTTCCTCCCCTACCCTCTGCTGCACTTTGTTCTTGTCCCTGAGCCTCTGCTCAGGTCACCCCTTCCCCAACCCCTCTCCGGGCTCAACTGTGAAGCCCCCTCCTAACACCGCCCCCCCCCCGCCCCCGCCCCAGGGCAGTCTCGGAGTCTCTGACTCAGCGCTTTATCTCTGTGCCGCACTCGGTTCCTGCCAGTGGTCTCCTCCCCAGTGGGTAGGGGTCTTCTAAGACCGAGCTGGTGGGAACTGCACACCCCCGTATGTATCCCGTCTCCCCTGTGGTCCCAGGAGGAGCGCGCCCACGGCCAGGGCAGGAGAAAGGACGACAGGAGAGCGGGGTGCAGTCCCTAAAACAGGCTCTTTAATAACATTTATGTCTTCACTGAAGAGCTTCGCTTTTCCCACCCAGCGCCCAGGCTGGGGCCGACAGGGTCCGCTGGACGGATGGACACGAGGGCGGTCGCACGGCGGGGCCTGAGCGCCGCCCGCGCCGGGCTAGTAGAAGGAGTACTGGTTCTCCACCGCCCGCGTGCGGCCGCGCGACCCCTCGCCGGGCGCGGCCTCGGGGGGCTCGTCCGCAGCGCCCGCCGCCTCCAGCAGCCGCTCGGCGCTGTTGCTGCGGCTGCGCGCGCTCGGCGGGCCCTCGGCGGCGACGCGCGGGGCGGCGGGCAGGGATGCAGCTGAGGACGACGAGGCGGAGGAGGACGAGGCGCCGCCGGCCTCAGAGGGCGAGGCAGGCGGACAGGCGGCAGCGAGGCTGGCGAAGTAATGCTGGCCTGCCGGCTCGCTCCAGCAGGCGGGGGGCGCAGGCAAGGCGCTGGGCGAGGGGCCCGGTTCTGCAATAGGACCCAGCGCATCAGTGCCCAGCTTGGGTTCCCTAGTCACAGCGTGTCAGCCCGGGACCAGAGACCCGGAGGAATGGGGTGGCCTGGGGTCACACAGGGGGTCAGGGCCCGAATTCAGTCCTCCGGGCTCCAGCCCACTTTCCCAGACAGTATCACGGGTACAGGCGGCGCCGCACACACACCATGGTGCTCAACCCGCAGGTGCTGGACATCCGCACTGGCCCCTCCGCCGCGCCCTCCACCCGCAGCTCAGCGCAGAGCCCCGCCTGTGTCTAGGGGCTGCCCGGTGCTGCCTCCCGCAACCTCCCCCCGCCAGGAATCACTCCGGCCACTCCCGTGTCCGATCCTCATGGCCCCGATTGCTTACAGCCGCCCACGTCCTGGCCTCACCCCACTGGAGCTGGCTCAGCCGGGCGGGACGCGGCGTGAGGCGACTCCGGTCTCCCCCCGCCCATCTGTCCGCCCCCTGGAGCCATCACTCCCGCCAGGCAGGGCGTCTTACCAGGTGGGGGGCCCTGGGCCCGCACGTAGCTGCGCAGGGTGATGTCTGCCGAGCCGCCGGACTCCAGGGGGATGGGGTGGGTGTGGAAGTGGCGCAGCATGTCCAGCACCGACTGGAACCACAGGTGCTGCACGTGGCACTGCCCGTGGCCATTCAGGGACAGGCGCAAGTGCTGTGGGCACAAGTCCACAGTCAGCAGGTGCCTCTGGGGGTTACCGGGAGGACCGGGTCTCACAGAGGCCCTGGGTGGTCGTGTCGGAGCAGGCACCTACCAAGTGAGTCCCATCTCAGGGTGGGGTCACTCCGGGGTGGGGGTGGGGAATGGGTGGGCAACAGAGCCAGGCTGGGGCTGAAGGGAGTGCCATCTGCCCGTGTCAGAAGCGGGCACATCACGCCCCTCACGCTCCCCAGAGTCTCCAAAAGCCCTAACGAGGGAGAGGTGACAGCCCCCATATGAGAGATGGGGAAACTGCGGCACAGAGGAGTGACTCGCCCCCTGTCACAAGGCACAGAACTCAAGTTTGTGGGATTCTCCACCCTGCTGTCCCCACAGGGCCAGAGCCCGGAGGGTGGAAACCACGCCAAGGCGGGCTGGCGGCCAGGGGGTGGTGGTGACAGTAGGTGCTTCTCAACGTGCCCAGAGTGGCTGCATGCGGAGCCTGGGGCACGGGCTGCTGCCCGCAGGGCCCACAGGGGCAGATGCCTCAGGGCGGTGAGCCGCGGCCTGTGGTCTCCAGGGCCAGCCTCGTCTCACTCGGTGTGCATCCCACAGCACAGACAGTGGCTGTTGCCGGGGTGGGTATGGCAAGAGGGGTAGCGATAGGAAGGTTTCAGGGCCTTGAGCCTGGGGGCGGGGGGTGCGGGGTGCTGGCCTAGCCCTACATAAAGGACAGAGGCCGAGGGCTAGGACGGTGGGCTGGCTCCATGACTGATCTGCCCATCGGCAGGGCCGGAAGTCGCCACGACAGTGAGAGCAAACCTAGGGAGCCCAACAGCTCCCAGGGCAGGGCCTCCGGGGGCAGAGCCCGAAGCAAGGGCACGTCTCAGGCTTTGGGAAAACACTTCAGACATTTACTACTGAAGGTGAAAAGGGGGCAGAGGTCCTCCTTCCCAGGAGGAGTGCGAGCAGAAGGCAGGGGGCCCGGCTGTACCCCACCACTAACATCTCACCCGACTCTGACAGAGCAGGGGCTGGCGGGAGTGAGTCCGATGCTGGGGCTTCCCCCTGGAAGGACAGGAGTGTCCAGCTCGTCTCCCCCACCCCTGCACCTGTGCCCCCGGGTTGGCCGGGCACCCTCCTAGTGTCCGGCTCAGGCACAAGTGTGATCCAGGCCCTTCGGGGAGGCTGCCGGGCGGTGCTGGCAAGGAGTAAACTCGGGGTTGCCAGGGCCGGCGTTAAGTGCCTGGTTGTCAGAGGAACTGGTGAGGGCGGCTGCTTTCTAAGGAGGTGTCCCTGGAGAGGGGCTGCCTCCTCCAAAAAGCGACAACACCGCAAGGACACAGGCCCAGGGAGCCAGGGGAGGGCTTGCACCGGAACAGCTGGGGGCTAGGACACTGACCGCCAGGGTAGGCCCGGGGCAGGAGTGCTGGGGTGCCCCTCCCCCAGCAGGAATTGGTGGAAGCCAGTCTGGGGAGGAATCCAGGATTAAGTCTGCTTCCTTATCAGAAACTCAGGATGGAGAGAGGGGCGGGAGTGGAGGTGGCGGTTCCTGCCTATTCTGGTCACACTGTAGCTCCCCACGGTCATGTTCCCTGTGTACCTTAGGCCAGCACATCAGCTCGCAAGGCCCGACCTTGACAGCCCAGTCTCTGGGAGCCCCGTCGCACCTTTGCTGTGCCCACTCTTCCCACTTCACCGTAAACGTCCTCCCTCCACTGCACGTCTCGGGTCAAGGCCTCCTGCTGCGTCGGCTGGCAGGGTCAGGAGCCTCCTCTGGCTCGTACGGCCTGTGCAGCCCGTCTCCTCCTCCCACATTTTGTCCCCTAGGGGTTGCCTGTGTGTGGTTCCCTTCCGAGTCCCTTGGCCTGAGCACAGGCCTGGCCTGGGGCTGGGGTGCAGGAAGGGATGGTGAACTGACATGAGGAGGCTAGCAGCGGGGCTGTCTGGGAGTAGGTGGGTCCAAGGGGCCTTGGTTGACCCCAGCCCTACACTGAGGCGGCTCCTGGTACAAACCCACAGAAGCCCCTGTGCTTCTGCGGGGTCAAAGTTAAGTTCTCAGAAGAGCCTGGCCTCCTGAGCGCTAGGCCACCAGGAGGTGACTCCCCATCCGGATAATGGAGAGCGAGTCCACGGAGGCCGGGCCCACGGAGAGTCGCGCTGCACCTGCACCCACGGAGCCTGCTCCTGCGGTGTGGGCACGGCCTCAGGACCAGGGCTACCTCCCCACCACGGTCCCCTGCACACTTGCCTTGGCCTTGCCTTGGAAGTTGAAGGTCAGTACATACTCCCCAGGCCGAGTTTCACTCTGGCGGATCACGAAGAGGCCATGGCTGCGGGACCCTCCTGCCAGCACCAGCTGCGCTGCCCTGACCCTGGACAGGGTCCCGTGGAACCAGGGGTAGTCAGAGAGCTCCGGCTCTGGTGCCACCTCCGTGTCACGCTCCGCTCCCTCCTCCCCTGGAGAGGACCACAGCGGGAGGGGCGTGAGCGGCAGGAGGATGAACGGATGCAATGTCTCTGGGTTATCACTCCTGAAACGCTGTTTGGATAATTTTAGAACAGGGCCGGGGCTGGCCCTGCCCACTAGGTAAGCCTGTGCAGCCACCTGAGGCACAGAGAGGAGGGGGACTCCCTGTGGCCGTCTCCAAAGGTGGCAACGGACCTGGGGACAAGTCACATCTCCTTGCCCCAGCCCTGGTTCTGACCCCTCACTCCCCTTCTGCAAGCATTTTCTATTGAGGGCATGTGGGAAGGATCTTGTCCCAGGACTTGCCTACAAAGCCAGGATTCTGAGCTGCTGTGCTCAGGACCCGGCGGGAGGCTCAGGAAGGGCTCCAGAGGGAGCTGGGGTGCCTGTGGCCTGGCTGGGGGCGCAGGAAGGTGGGGTGGGGACAGCAGGCTGCCCACTGCACCTGTCTTATTGCTGTCACCACCGCTGCCGCCTGGGGATTCCAGGGTCTCCAAGAAGGACTCCAGTGGGACGTGGACCAGGGACTCGCTGATGGTGTCTCGAGCTCGGCTGTGTGGGGCTGTCACCACAGCTGCCGTTGTCTCTGAGGGCCGGGGCAGGTCCACTGCTGGAGAGGTGGCAGTAAGAAGCACGCCTGCCTGTCTGGCCGTGTCAGAGCGACCACCCCTCCAGCCCTGCCCTCCACGACGCCCGCCTACCCTCAGCGAGGAGCTCACAGCTGCAGGAGGCCACTCGGCTGGCCAGACAGCCCCCCCGGGCGCAGGACAGCTCTGTGTCTTCCTCGCTGTCCCTGTGGAGACGAGAAAGCAAAACCGTGCTCAGCTGTGGGATTTGGACCTTGGGCTCCTCACAGAAGCAGGCGGTGGCTCACCTGAGGTCCCTGTGCCTCCATGTCCCTCTGTCACACCCTCAGCTTGTTCTGTGGCCACCACGTGTGACTAGGCCATATAAGAGAGGTCTCCAGGTGGGTTCTGGGACCCTGCCAGCTCTAAAATACTGCAAGGCTCACCTTCACAGGGTCCAGGGAAGGAGTGTGCAGAGCAGATGGTTGGGAGGGTGGCAGGGGAGGGATTATAACCACTTTGGGGATCAGGGGGCCGGGGAGGTGCTCAGGACTTTAATTGTGCTTCCTTAAATGAAACTGTTAATTAGAAAGCAGCAGCCCCTCCCCCCTGGGGCTTGGCTCGCCCCATTAGCCAGGAGAGCTGCTGCCAAATGCTCTGCTGCTGGTCTGCCTGCCCCCCTGCTCCCGGCCTCAAGGTCTCTCCTGGATGGCGCAGCCAGCCTCCCCGTCGCCTTCCTGCACACAGCTGACTGCAGCTGCCCTCTGCTCACTTACTACCAGCCGTGCGTGGCTCCCCGCTGCCTTGACCTACCGGCTTCCCCGGCTCTCATCAAAGTCCCCTCTTCACCAGCTCTAATTCCAACTGCTTGGAGGCCTCAGTGTTCCCGGCAAGCCCCGGCTCACACACGCCTCCACACCCTCTGCTGGGCTGTTCTCTCTGCCCTCTCCTGCCCCCAGTCCACAGTTTCTTTCAGCCTTGGAGACGGTGAGCCCCTCTACCAGCACGGCCTCTGAGCCCCAGGGTGGGTTAGGGGCCTCCCGCCTACTCCCCCACCCCTGCACCTTGGGCTCACCCATCACCGCCCTTCTCCTAGTGGTCTCAGGCCTCCCTGGGGTGAGGATAAGATTTGGTCCAACTTCCTTTTAGGTCCCCAGGCCCTGGCCCTGCAGAGCAAGCCTCGAAAAGCCTGCTGGGGGTCAGGGTGGGGGACGGATGGGTGGCCAGCACCAACCTGGACAAACCGCCATGAGAAAAGCCATCATCTCTGTAGCTCAGCAGCAGAGAGCCGCCCTTTCCTGCTCACCTGTCCTAGGGCCACTCGGGCACTCACCCGGGGTCCACGCAGCCCTGGATGTCGGCCACCCACGAGTGCTTCTGCAGGGAGTCGATGGTCTCCAGGATGTACTCTGCTCCATTCTCCACCTGGGGAAGGGGGGCCAGGAGTCCAGAGAGCAGTCAGTACCCCCACCTCCTCCACCCTCAGTGGGGGCTCTAGACCCAAGACAGGTAGCTCACCCCGCCTCCCACCGAGGCTCACTGGTGTGAGCAGCAGGGAGGACAGCGGCGTCACCACCAAGCACCACCCGGTGCCCTCAGCAGCCCCTTCCTCTGGGCCCACTGCTGGGCATGACGGGATGATGCTCAGCTCTGCTGACCTCAGGTCCCCAGGAGCTGGACACGCGGCCTCAGAGGGGACCGTGCTGGCTGGGGAGCGGCAGGCCAGCACCCTGGAGTTGGGCTGAAAGGACGTCGCAACCCTCCAGGCAGCCAAGGGGCCAGCTGGCTCAGTCTCTGGGTTGAGGGCTCACCTGCCTAGTGCCTGGACCTGTGCCTCTGAGGCCACACCCCTGGGACAAGTGGCTTGCACGGGGGACCGAGGGCGGGGAGTCCTTGCAGAGCGAGGGGCAGGCCAGGAGTGTCGTCCTGCCTGTTCGCTGTCTGGTGACCTCATTCAAACAGCCCTGGGAGGGAGGGAGTTTTCGTTCCCCATCTTACAGGTGAGCAAACGGGCCCGGAGAGGTCAGGTAACAGGTTTCAAGTCCCACTAGGACTGCGGCAGCAGTGGGATGTGAGCCCGGGCTCTGGGAGGCTGTGAGCCTTGGGCTTCCTGCTGTGCACCTCAGCAGCTCGTTGGACTCCCAGCATCTCAGAGCTGGGAGGGTCCTTGGAGACCACCTCTGGCCCCTCTCTGAACAGATGTGGAAACTGAGGCCCGGAGTGGGGCTGGCCCAGAGCTCCCTGGCCTCAGGGATCCACAGTGTAGTCGGCAGCACCGCGGCCACTCGGCTGTTGGGAACGAGGCTCAGGACCCACCTCCCCAGCGGGTGAGTGCCAGGCAGGGAGGGACACTACCCTCAGCCCCCAGCCGGGGTGACTCAGGGAGTGGGGTTGGCAAGTGCTTCACTTAGAATAAGGGAGTTCGTGCCTGCACAAGCAGGGGAGAACAAAAGCATAAACCCACCCAGGAGCCCGGAGGGGGCGGGGCTCCATGCAGCTTTGGTTGGGTGGGACCAGGTTCCTGGGAACGGGGGCCTCACAAACAGCCTCTTACCCTCTGAGGAGGCACAGGGCACAGCCCTGGTGGCCTGGGGCCTGTCCTCAGCAACCTGAGCGGCTCCCCCCACCCAGTGACATGGGTCCTGGCAAAAGAGCTGCCCTCAGCCCCAGCAGGGTGCCCCCCCTGCCCCCTGTCCACCTCAGCGCCCTCTGTGGGGCCAGGTGGCTTCCCACACCCCAGGGCTCTGCAACGGGAGCGTGAGTGTAACTGCTGCAGGCTGGCTACCAGCTTGTGGGCCCAGGGGGTGGGTATGTGCTGGCGCCTGTGGGGGAGGGGGAAAAGTGAAACAGAGGAGCTTCGCCGAGGCCCAGGGGGGGCCCCAAGTGGTGGGTGATTCCCGGGGCACACGGCTCTAGAGCCCAGGCCTGGATTTAAGCCCCAGCTGGGTGGTTGCCACCTGTGTAGGGTCCCAAGACTCCCAGCCAGGGGTCCCTCCCACTGCCCTGCTGCTGGCCCCTTTCCCTCCCCTGCAAGGGCCTCAAGCTGTGCCGCCCGTTAGGGAGGTGGCCTGAGGCAGCCAGAGGATGGGGGGGTGAGGGGTGGGACTCACCTTGAGCACGAACGTGTTGTCTTTCTCTGGCATCTCCAGGGGCATGGTGGTGCGGACCTCGATAATGGCTGAGAGAGGGATGCTGACCTTGGGCCTGGAGGCCTGGGAGGCCAGAGGAAGGGGCGGCGGGTCACCACGGGGCCTCCTGAAACCCTCTCTAGAGCTCTCCGCCTCCCGGGTGGCCCTCAGCTTGGGGTGGTACAGCAGCCCGGCCACAGAGGCGTTCCGACCCCTGCTTCGCAGACGGGGGGTGGAGGCAGTCCTTGGGAGACAGAGGGACCTCCCCATGGCCACCCAGCAAGTCAGGGCCCGCGCGGGGCTGACATCTGCGACTCTCCCCTATCCCCTGCCCCAGCCCTTCGAGGTGAACTGTGCCTGGGCCGCCCTTCTGCCCAGCGTACCCACCGGACCTGCATTTCCCCATTTTTGACCTTGATCCATAGTAAGAAACATATTTGATGTTGTGGCCCAGGATACACAGTTTACTTCTCTGAAATGAATGTGTCAGCAGACATTATTTACCCTGTGTGATGGGATGTGATATTTTTCTATCTTATTCTGGTTCATTAAAAGAAAAATGCTGTTCTCCCCCTTCAGACTAGAGGTCCCAGAGCACAGGGTTCTAGGCTCCCTGACTCTGCGCCCCTGGAGCTGGGCAGGGCAGCATCTCCCCAGTGTGGGGTTTAACCCAGGTGAGCTGGCGGAACTCCCGGGGAGGGGCGCTCTGTGCCTGGCCCTCCCTGCTCCGCCCCAAAGCTCCTGGCCATGACCTGAAGGCCCTCTGGGGCTGGCTTGAGACCGAGATTCCCGGCAGGGCTTGGGCTCTGGGACAGGGACTTTCTCAGGAGGAAAGGGAAGGGCCGCACGCTGGGTGGGCAGGCGGATGGGAATTCCCGGCAGCACTGGCTGTTGTCCAGCGGGCTTGGAGTGGTGACGGAGGGGCTCGGCTGACCATGGCAGGCCGCTGCGCCAGCCACTGGGGTTGGGGGCCCATGGCGCTGGAGTGGGTGGAGCAGGCAGAGGTCTGCAGTGAAGGCCGGGACGGGCTATTTCGACTGGGCTCCTGCTGGCTGGGGGCGCTGATTCCCTGGCTGGCATCTGAGGCCCATCTGTCTTGGCCCAGCTGCCTTTCACCCTGCTCCACCCACACCTCACTGTTCCCACTTCTCCAGACAGAACCATGAGGCTGTTTCATGACCCAGACCCCTGTCACTCGGCTTGTGGCTCCAGAATGCCTGTCCTGAGGCCCTGTGGCCTGGTGAGCACTCACGAGGCCCAGGCTTCACCTCCTTGGTGCCCCAGAACACCCAGCACTCAGCCCGCGGAGGGTTATCACCCAGTGCTGCAAACACCAGCCTGCCGGTGGCTCCCACCAGGGCAGGGGGCCAGCGGTGCTGCTCTCTGGGGCCCCAGGGCTTGCCTGGTACAGGGCTCTGAGGGGACAGGAGGCCAGAGACCTGACTCATGGGGCTGTATGAGGGGAAAGGCGGAGAGGCCCAGGAAATAGCCCCTGAGCTCCGTCTGCTCCAGGGGTGTGGCCAGGCCTCCTGGGCTGAGGAGCAGTGGGCGGAGTCAGCAGGGGCACAGGTTGGGGGAGTTAGGGGAACCTTAGGAAGTTAGGGAAACAGGACCTGAGCCCTCAGCACGTAGGGAGCAGTTCCTGCCAGCTCACTCCAGAATCCTGGGCATTTGCATGACAAACGAAGGGCTGGAGGCCTGATTAGGGGGTGGGGGTAGGAAACCACTAGCTTTCCTTTGAGGTTGTGGAGGTGACCCCTCAGGAACCCTGCCTTCTGCCAGTGGTGAATGGTGGGCTCAGAGGGATAACCAGGAAGGCACCAGCTGCCACTTCCACGCCTCTGAGGGCAGCAGCCGCTGCTATTTACAGCCGGGCAGCTGTGCCTGCCACTCAGGGCCTGGAGGCCTTGGAAGGCCTGGGTCTCTGCCTCTGCCCTTTGGGTGACCCTGAGCAAGCCGCACCTCATTTTCCACCCCCTGCTGGACCTTGGGCTCCCTGTCTGACAAGGGGTAGAGTTGAGCTTCATGGTCTATGATTTCTCTCTGGAAACTAATAGTGGGGCCTGGGCAAGCCAACAGCCCTTGAAAGCCTGGGGCGGGGGCTCTGGGACTTGGGGAGAAAGCTCTTCAGACAGTGAGTGTGTTGCTAGGAAGTCACTTCGCACGCAGATCATGGGCACGCAGTCCTGGGGAGCCCGCGCCCCGCCCCTCCCGTGGGACCTGCAGTTCTGGCAGACAGAGAGCCAGGGGCAGAGGCGAGAGGCTCAGGCTGACTAAGGCACTGGGGCGAGTGGGTCCAGGGGTGGGCGGCAGCCCTGGTGGTTCCTGGGGGTGCCGCCAGCTGCTGCACCAGCACAACCTCCCACCCCTCTGAACCTCCCAGAGCACGAGGGGCTTCCACCTCGATGCTCCCTTCAATACTGGGACCCCCAGGATTGGGTATAATGGGCCCAGCTCTGCCACCCACAAGCTGTGTGACTTCCAGCAGCCCCCCCCCCCACTACTGGGGTATTCATTTGTTTTCTCTCCTGTGACCTTGAAACCAGGAGGCCAACCGGCTGGAGTACCAGAAGAGACCACCCACCGGGCCAGGCGCTTAGCGGGCTCCTGGGCTCTCAGAATCGGGCAGTTATTCCCCCTTTCTAAACAAGGCAGGTTCCTTCATCGCCCTGGAGGAGGCCCAAAGCTTCGCCTAGGGCTGTTTTGTGGTGGGCCCCTAAGAGGGGGAGGGGACAGTGTACTCCTGTGAGCGGAAATGGTAGGGGCAACTAGAACTTAGCTTTTGAAATCCAGGCCAAAAAAGGGCCACCTGGGCAAGGGGTTAAGCTGCAGCTCGGCAGCCAAACTGGGGACTCACAGATTTCTGCCAGAATAGATGCAGACCTCCCCAGGAGTAGCACCTTGTAGTGCCACTGTCACGCCCTGCCCTCACCCCACAGGCCTCCTCTCTGGGCAGCTCCAGCCACCCAGGGGTATAAGAGGAAGAGGGTAGGGCAGGGAGTCAGGCTTTCCAACGCCATGAAGAACAGCATCCCAGAACCTGTCCTGTAGCCAGAGAGCCCTCTGACGCCTCGCAGGTGCAGAGAGGCGCTCACATCCCAGGATCCTGACACTCAGTACTCCGTCTTGCCAACCAGACCAGGCAATGCCAAAGCCAGCTATTGGCACCCTATCCTGTGCCCACGGCATTCCACCATCTCCCAGGTGGGGGTTGGCGCTCACCTTGGGTGGCACGAAGAACTCTAGGCGGAAGCGCTCTCCTGCCACGGCCCTGCGCAGGAGCAGGCGGCACTTCTGCCACTGGGCGGCGCCCCCCGGGCCCGTGGCCGCATCATCCGCTACCATGAAGCGCAGTGCACCCTCGCGCTGGATGTCCACCAGCTCCACCTTGGCTGCCAGCGTCCGTGACAGCCGCAAGCGCCGAGTCCACTTGTCACGTGGTTCAGCCGGCGACTCGGTGGCACGCGGGGTGGCATCGGGCTCGGGAGAGGCGCGCCGGTGCCATATATCGCGCATGCCGTCCACCACGCACAGGCTCATGTTACGCAGTGAGAAGCCCTTGCGGACGCGGGCCTTGGCTGCCACTTGGGCCGAAACGTCCTCGGAGCTCCGCGAGTGGCTGCATGATGCTGCTTTGAGCGCCACCGGCTCCGGATCCATGGCGTCAGGGTGCTCGGCCACCCCGGCCACAAGCATGCGGCGCACCTCCTCGCTGAAGACGTCCAGGAAGTTGGTGGCAAAGTGGCGGGAGAAGGAGGCCCCGGCGTCCGGTGTGTCGTAGGCCGGGTTGTCCCGCAGGAAGCGGCAGAACTTGTGCGCGAAGTCCACGGCAGCAGCTTGCGCATGCAGCTCACAGAACTGCCGCCAGTCAGGGACCGAGGCGGCACCATTCATGGCTTCCGTCCCATCGCAGCCCTCTGCAGCTGCAGGGTAGAAGAGCTCTTAGTAACTTTGAAACCTCTCACCAGAGCACCCACCTGCCCTCCCTCTGGCCCCTCTCCCCTAAGGGCCCCCTGGGGCTATGCGTTGGGGCGGGGCTGGGGGCAGTCCCACAACACGCAGCCTTTTGGAGCAGGACTAGTATGTGAAGAGGCTCCCCAGTGAGGTAAGGGGGCAGTATCTGCAGGACCGGAGCCCCCATTCACTCTCTTCAAACAGCAGCCTCACTTAGGGAACCCCAAGTCAATCCTGGGCCAACCACTGGAGGCTGGGATGACAGGCACCTTGAAGTGAGGTCCCCATGAGCCTCCAGTGACCTCACTTCCTCAAGTAACCTCTTCTGAGGGTCCCCAAAGCCCTGTGGACAAGAAGTCATGTGCAACTCTCTGGGGTCTACTTTTGAAATATGCCAGGAACCCCACCCTCCTCCACGGGCTGCCATCCAGGGACCCACATAACGCATGCTTTTGTAGGCAGTACTTTAGTAGCCTCTCCCCTGGTTCCCCGGAACCTGACCTCGCTGTAGTCGGCTCTCCACCCGGGAACCCAGTCATCATTTCTAAAACACAAGACACATCGAGTCCCCCTCTGCTCACAGTCCTGCAATGGCTCCCATTCCACTCACGGTAAATGCCAAAGTCCCACCCGGGCCCTGCTGGCCTCACTTGGTCTGCCTCCATTTACCTCTCTGGCCACACTTGCCTCCTTGTTGTGAAGGCACACCAGTCGCTATTCCTACCTCAGGCCCTTCGCGCTCTCCTGGAATGTTCTTTCCTCCACTCTGTCACCTCCTTCAGGTTTCTGCTCCGACGCTACCCTGTCTGGTAGCCATCCCTGACCCCCACCCTGCCGAGAACAAGAAACGCTCCCACTCCACCCTGTGCAGGCGTCTCCTGCCCTTTGCCCGCTTACTTTTCTCCGCAGGGTCTACCCGTCTGACTGACATACCATTTGTTCACTTGCTTGGCTGCGCTCTCCCCTCTCCTCGCCCCTGCCCCTGAGAACGTCCGCTCCACAAGGCAGGTATTTTAAGTCTTAGAAGTGGCTGTGTCCCCAGTATTTGGCACATGGCAGGCGCCCTGCAAACGATGAACAAACGACTGAATGACAAGTGAATGTGTTCTGGGCATGTCACCACGGTCACTACCTAAACTCTCACCCTGACTCCAGGACTTGGGGGCCCCTCCCAGTGTGACTCAGATCTGACCGTCATTGAAGGCGCTGCTTCCTCTGACTTCTTCCCATCACAGGGGCCCGCACCCCATGCTGTGTCCCTGCCTCCCAGAGCCCTGTTCTCTCCCCAGTGCCCATCCAAATCCGGCCTCTTTGAAGAGGCCCCTACCAGGCATCCAGCTGTCTCTCGACCCCAGCTTCCTCTTCCTTATTCCCAGGCGACCCCTCCCTCCTTCTGGATTGCCAAACCACCTGGCGCTTGGGGGCTTTGCCTGCTTGTCCCCCAACGTGGCCATCACCCCCGGGGCATGGGCATAGCCCACTGGGTTTCTGAAACCCCCTCCCAAGGCCAGGGGGAATTTACCAATGGAGAACAAGAGGGGTGATGCCGTCCTGCCCTGCCTTGGGGATCCCATCTTAGGGGGTCAGCCACTGTCAGGGGAACTGAGGCAGAGGGCCACGCCCTCAGCTGCCCTCCCAGGGTCCTGCATCTGCTGGTGTGGTCCTTGCAGCTCTTGGGAGTACCGTCTCATCCCTCCTCTGGGATCCAGAGTCTAGTTAAAGTAGGGTAAAAATAGCTGCTCCACTTTGGTGAGATCATGTTCAGGGCCTCGGGGCCGGAGGGCACTGTGGGAATTCCCTCTCACCTCGGGGCAGCCTCCGTCCTGAGCTGCAGTTAATAACCCCGGGGCAGCCCCAGGAAGGGAACAGGCCACTGAGCGCAGATGACAGTTTTCCAAGCTGGCAGGTCTGCTCAGACTCCTGCCCTGCTATTGGGGGAGAGGGCCACGAGGAGCTACGGAGCCTTCCTGAAGGAGGTGGGGCCTGCCTTGGGCTTCACGTCTGGAGAGGATGCAGAGGGCCCTCCCTGTAGGCTTGCGCATTACCTCGGAGGCAGACTTTTCAGGGCAAGGGAAGAGGGTTTGGGGACAATGGGGGCTGAGGCACCCATGAGCTCCGCTCGGGCTGGGCCTTTTTAATGCCTTGCTCTTCCTCCTCTCTTCATCTGGCTAAACCCTAATCCTCCAATAATTAATTGAGGTCCACTTCCCCCAGGAAGCCTTCCCTGACCTCTGCCCCCTCTGCCGGCTGGCATGAGTGTCTCCCCTGAGCTCCCACAGTCCCTTCCTCAACGCGCGTCTAGCAAGGTGCAGCATGCAGGGTGCTCCAGGTGTGCTCCCTGTCGCTGCCCCTAATCTGGCACAGGCCCTCCCCGGGGTCAGAAGTTGGCCTGAGTCACGTCGGTGACGGAAGTGGAGGCAGAGATGCACCTGCCGCCACCACCAGGTCCTGCAGGAGGAGCAGAGCCGAGGCCTCAGCCACCCTTTGGGGGTGGGAGTGAAAGGACACCCCGCAGCCAAGTCTGTCCCCAGGCTCCAGCCCATCTGTTTTACCGGCACGGCAGTGCTCCCCAAAGTGGCCACCTCCCCCGGCACCGCTGAGACCGCCAGGTGACACCAAGGCTGGCATTGGGCCAGCACCAAGTGCGGGTGCCCCTGGTTGACATAATTGTGCTCCCAGAGGCTGCAGGTGGGGACGGGGAGGAAGGCAGCCCCAGTTCCCCATCCTCAGGCGTTAACCCTGCCCTCTCTGCTCTTCCTGCCGACAATATTCCCGGCAAGGAGAAGAGGCAGAGTGGAGAGATAGGGCCCTGGGGAGAGGCTGTCTCATGGCGGGGGCCCCCGTGTGCCCCCCCTGGAAGTAGAGGTGGCGCTCAGAGAGGAACCCTCCAAGGACACGGGGCTGTGGCTGCGTCTGAGGCAGGGTCTGGCCTGGGAGGTCGGTTCTGTCTTGACCTTCCCCACCCACCCTTGCTGGCTGGCCAGCAGTCTACAGGCCTGATGGCCAGCACAGCAGCCCTCAGTGTCCCCTGGTTCTGGCCAGGGATACAAAGAAGTGGTAGAGGTTGGGAAGCCAAAGGTCAAAGCCGGGACGGCAAGGAGCCTCATACTTCATTACAGATGGGGGACTGGGGCCTGGACAGGGCTCTCTGCAAAGGTGAGGTGGGAGGTCACACGGGAGAGGGCTCGGGCCCAGCAGGGGCAAGGGTGTGCCGTGGGCCAGCGCTGGGACCAGACCACGTGCAGGGGCCTGGGCTCACCTGGGCGCAAGGCCCGACCCCACAGCTGGCTGGGTGAGCGCCTCTTCCTACGGCCCCGGGGAGGCAGGGGAGACCGGTGGGCCAGGGCAAGACAGCACAGGATGGGGTGAGGGGAGACCTGGGCTCTGCCTCGGGCCAGGCCTTGGGTCTCCCCAGGCCTGGCACCCCATCAGTGAAACGGGGTGCTGGAGCACTGGCCTCTTGGGCCTGACTGTGACCGTCGCAGGACACTTTAGATTGGGGCTCCTCGTTGCCCCACTGGGCAGAGCGGCAGGCTGGGGGCCGCGGTTCACCTCCAGTCTTCTCTGAGGATTGGGATGGAGACACAGGAAGCCCACAGGGTCTGGGCACCAGGTGCTGGCTCCCCAGGGGCCCTGGGTGGGCAGACCAGCTCCCCCAATCATCACCGGGTGTTCTATTTGTTTTTTCGTGTGTTCTGTTTTTTTTTTTAGGCTCAGCTGGGCTTTCTGGCTTCTGGAAAAATGCTTTTTATTCCCATCTGACCAAGCCTGGAGCGAGATGGGATGGGGCTTCAGGGAGGCGGGGCAGAGGAAGCCTAGTAAGAGTCTCGGCCCCCCCTGCCCCCCCCCCCCCCCCCGCCTTTCCCAGCCATGGACTCTCCCAACCCCTCCGCCAGGAACCCAGACAGAAGACGCTCCCCCACCCGACCGAGCAGAGGCCTGGGAGAGGGGGCAGCTGGCCTTCCGGTGGTAAAAATAGAGCTGACAATTGGAAAAGAAAAAGACCAGCCGTCGGCCCCCGCAGCACGCAGTTCCGCATCGCACCGCCAGGTCATTCCTTCAAATATTAACGAGGCGTCTTTGCTGCCCTGGCTAAAGCGCAGAGGACGGATCGATCTACCACACAGGGGGTGGGTGGGGTGGGGGCGGGGGCGGCGCCTGGCCCACACCCGTAGGCATTCTCCCCACCAACAGTGTTTCTGGGGAGCCCCAGGAAAGCGAACGCCCCGCAGGGCAAACGAGCAGCGCCCCGAAAGGCCGCCTCCCCCGGATGCACGCAGGCAGGACCCGGGCAGCAGCCTCCTTCTCCCGCACCTCAGGCAGCTGTGTGCTCAGAACGGCAGGCGCACCGGTGAAGATGAGATCTAAGGGTGCTCTATTCTGGCTGGGGTGCCCACCCCCCAGAAACCGTTCATGATGGGGAAACTTGGGCCTCTTCTTGGGGTCCCCCAATACAAGAAGAGGAGACAAGAACTCATCTGGCTCTTCCCCACACCTGGGAAGCTGGCCCTAAGGATGCACCCGATGTCTGGGGTTCTCTGGACCTCTGGCCTGGACAGTCCGGCCCTGCACTTTACAAAGCTCCTTCTGTCCTCCATCCTGCTGTGCTTTCAGCTGCCCTCCTGGCCTCTGCGGGACAGTCCCTTCTGGCCCCCTGTATGAACCTCTCCCCCTGCAGGACACAAACTTTGGGGAGGCTGCTGCATCAGCCAGGGGTGCCGCTGCCCGCTGCCCGCCTGTGTCTCTGTCCCCTGTGGGAGGAGGCGCAGAGTCAACCAGGCGGCATGCTTTTCTCTTTCTCTGCTGGCTGCTTGGGTGTCGGTTCTCAAGTCTATGTCCCACCTTACCAACTGCCCCCCGCAGAAGTGTCCCCATTGGGCAGATTTTGAACCAAGGCTTCCTGTGAGAGTAAGGTGTGGCTGGAATTCCCCTACCCTTCCTCCCCAAAATATCTGTGCTCTGAATGCCAGAAGGCAGAAGTGGGTGTGGGAGGAGGGCACTCTGACCTGTGACAGGGACAGGTGCAGACTGAATGCCCCTGGGACTCTGCCTCTGAATGGGTGGTGGGAGGGGCCGCTCCGGCGGTCCTGGCTTCCCTGGGCACCACTCGCCACACAGCTGTAAGGTGGGCCACCTGCTGTCCCGCACAGACTGCTGCAGGGCCCAAGGCCTGTGCAGAGGAGTGTGGAGAGCACTGCTGGGAGGCAGCTCTGTGCCCCGTGTGTTCTCACGCCTTTGACACAACCCCGCCCTTTGTCACCGTGGGAGAGCAGATGGCCTTCCACTGAGCCCTCTAGCTTTCAGACACCCCGAACCCTGACAGGGCCTGCTGGCTCAGACCTGCAAACCCCCAACCCTAAGGGGCCCCACAGCTGCATCCAACAGATGTTCCCGTCACAGGGCCCACTGCCCGGTGTCTCCCTACCTCCACATCTGGTCATTTGACACACGGGGCAGCGGAGTGCTTAAAAGCCTGGGGTCTGGAGCCAGACTTCCTGCGCTCGAATCCCAGCTCCTCTGCTTCCTGGCCGTGTCACTGTGGGTGGGCGACTCAGATGCCCAGGGCCTCAGTTTCCTCATCTGTAACACAGAGGGCGATACCATCACTGACTGCTATCGAAGGGCTGTCGTGAGGATTAAAGAAGTAATTTGCTTAAAAATAAAGTTCCTCAGCTCCCGGTTCCTAAATGTCTTGCCTTCATCCCCCCTTTCCTTCCCACTGCTCCGGGCGGCGGCGGAGGGCGGTAGAGCCCTCCTCCTCACTTCCCTGGCCCCCCCACCCCGACACAGACACATCCAGGCTCCTTTGTGCAGCCAAGCCCATCTTTCTAGATCCCAGCTCTCACTGGGCTGGGCCCCTGTTCCAAACCCTCTTCCTCTCCCATCTTCCCTGCCGGGAAGCCACTGGATTTACACTGGGCTCCCACTATGTGTCAGGAGCCAGGGTCGCAGGTGGGTGGGAGGGGACCGGGGGGCCACGCTTAGATCTGCCCCTTTCTGTGGCGGATGCTGCCCCTGACGGAGCCCTGGAGAGGTCTCCCTCTGAGGACACAGTGGGGTTACCTGGGCCCTGACTCAGAAATGGAGGTGCCCACCCACAGAGGAGGGGGCGCTCCGACAGGCCGGAGGGCCAGCAAGTCCAGAGCTGGGCCACATGGGATTTAGATGTCAGACAAGCGGAGCGGAGAGTGGGGCTCAGAACGACAAGCTACACCCGGGCCTGGGGGCCAGGAGGAGAGCCTGTCCTTCTTCAGGAGCACCTGGTGCTGGACAGTTCCTGGCCAGGCTCTGCGGACAGAGCAGGCTGGCATGGCTCTTGTTGCACCAGCCTTGCCCTCCTGGGGCTGCGGAGCAGAGGCACCCCCTCACCAGCCTTGGCCTGAGCCTTGCAGTCTCTCCCTCTCTTCTAGTGACATGGATCTCGCCTTGGCCCTGATTCATACCCCTCCCAGACCTCCTTGGCCTGTTACTCCGTCCCCCAAACTTGCAGGACACCACTCTGAACTCCTACCACTCTGGCCACCAGTCCATCTTCTGGCTTTTCCATGACACTCATACCATGCCTGCCCCTCAGTTCTGAGTATCCCAGAACTCTGGATACTGTGGATGCTGATAAAGTTTCCCTGGGCCTTTCTCCAAGCAAGTGAACTCCCCGCCTGCCTGATATCCAGCACCTCAAACTCACCACATCCAAGTTCTAGTGCATCCTCTTCCTCTAACCCCTGCTTATCCTCAGCTCAGAGTCTTAGCACCCAGCCTGGCACCCCACCTACTCCACTCCTCTGCCCCAGTAGTTGACAAGCCTAGAGGCCACAGAGGCCTTGGGAACACCCCCTTTATCTTGTCCCTGCCTCTACTTGGCCCCCCTCAACACCTCCCCCGCTTGGTGTTGAGAACTCCACGACACCACATTGCTGTGGCCTGTCTTCACCAGACTATGAGCCACGAGACGAGTGTTACACCCAGCAGAGGACCGAGGTGGGCCCTACATACAGTGGGTGGGGGTAGCTGGCAAATACAGCCCAAACCCTGCTTTGCCTAGCGGAGCCAGGAGATGCTGTACTCCCACACGCAGATGCCCTGTCTCACTTTGCCCAAACAGGTTCAGGCTGTGACCTCCTCCAGGTGTGAGAAGTCACAGCTGCTCTCCCCTGGGACACAGCACGGCCATAAAAACAGATCCAACCAGGTGAGGGGGTGGCAGGGAGAGAAACTTCCCCAGACTCCAAAGCTGCCACCACCCTTCCAGTCCCATGTGGACAGTAAGGAGCAGGAAGTGAGGCAGGCTCCAAGACTGGACCGGAACCCATGGGGACAGTGTCCAAGAGGTCGGAGGCACCTAACCCCGATTCCCTGCAATACAGGCAGACAGACAGTGCAGGAGATAACAACCAGGTTCTTGCCCGAGAAAAGTGGTCTACAGACCTGGCTTATTGGTTGAGTGACTTTGGGCAAGTCATTTCAACTCACCTCTCTTTCTTTTTCTGTAAAATGGGGGTAATAATAGTAGAAAACCAACACAGTTGTTGTGCACATTACATGAGACACAGCATGATGTCTTTAGCCTGGTGGGCGTTGGCTGGAAGCCGGCCACTCAGCCTTGGCAGAAGCCAGGCTCCACCTGGCTTGGGGCGGGGGTCTGACCTCCAATGCTCCCTCGGGAAGTCTGCCCTGGGGTGCGAGAGTGGGGGTTCTCCCTGGGAGAACTAGGTTTAGAAACTTTGGATGGACTTTTCACACTACTAGTAAGAATAAAGGCATTAACTCTCCATTACTTAGAACCATTCAACTAACCTGCATCAGAACGTCTTGCCCACCATCATTCCTGCCCTGTAGAGGGTGAGAGGGGTAGAAGGAAGCAGCTTGTGGGGAACTCTGCCTCTGACACCCCCACACTAGCCTAACAGCACTGCCCCCACTACCAGACCTCTCTCCAAGTCCCTGGAGCTGAAAGGTTCTAGTTGAGTCCCCACCCAACATCGTGGATGGAGCAGGGTGGCTGGAGGGAAGAGATTTGTTCAAAGTGGGGGCCAGAGTAGGGGGGGATTCAGATCACACCCCTGAAAAGGCAGCCAAAGCCTCTTGGGATAACCAACCCCTGCTCCTCCTGCCCTCCCAGAGGGACTCACCGCCCCCACACCCAGTGACCTGCAACAGAGGGGGCAACTCTTGCTGGTCACCCAGCCAGCTGTAGGCAGCATCGCCCCCATTTTGCAGAGCAGATCATGGAGGCTCAAAGATGCAGAGTTAGGGTTCAACTCAGGTTTGACTCCAGACCTTGGAGCTCTCCCATGCACCAGCTTGGTTTACCACGTCCACAGTCACTCCCGAGGCTGCTCGGTCCCCCCCCACCCCCACCCCATGGCTCCCAAGGGGCCAGTCGCTGCAGATTCCTCCCTCTGAAGACCTCACTTCGTGGGCTGCTGGGGGCTCAGGCGGGTTCCTGCCCGGCCTTGGTCTGATGGGCTGGCGCGGCTCTGGGGCCCGCGCTGCCCGCAGGTTCATCAATGGCCAAGGCCTAAAAGGCCTGAATGGAGGGCACGAACCCGCCCCTTTTTAAAGGCGCCGGCTTCTCGGGCACTCTCAGTGGTCTTCCCCACTATCCAGGGCTGCAGGAGAGCTCCGGGTTGGGCGGGTAGAGAATGGTGACCGTAAAAAAGAAGGCCTAGGCAGAACGGAGGGCGTGTGGTCCTCACCTTCATTCCAGTTTGGCCCTCCCCGCCCCGCCCCAGCCCCCACAGACTAGGGAAAAGAACGGGCGCCCCTCCGCCCCAGCCAGGGACCCCCTCCTCTAGGGGGCCCGCAGCGTTCTCCCCAACCCTGGCTTTGGGCCCTAGGAGGGGGCGGGGGCGCAGCTGCTCGGAGGCGGCTTGGCCCCTCCGGTTACTCCCTCTCAGCCCGGGATGGGGGTAGGAGAGCCGATCCCCGCAGGGGGCGCACGTCCTCGGTCAACCTCCCTCCCACCCGCGCACACAAAGACAACACGCGCGGACTGGGGTGCGTGCGGCCGCGCTCCTCCGGGCAGCGGTGCGCACACACACGCATGCCCTCAGGGACCGACGGGGTCCAGGATAATGGACGAGGGGACGAGGTAACTGAAGACAAGCAAGTCGTACCTACAGGCGCGCAGCTGCGGCTGGGCGGGCCAGGGCACCAGCGGAGCGCTGCCCAGACCGCGGCGGGGCTCCCGGGGCCCGGCGGCTCATGGCCTGCGGTGGGTTTCTGCTCCCTCCGTGCGAGAGCCGGCGCTGGAGGCGGCTCCTCACTCCCTCGTTCACAACCTCCTAGATTAGTGCGCTCCTTGCGGGCCCCGCACGGCCCAGCTCGGATCTCCAGGCAGCCAAGCCTCGCGCTCTCCGAACCCAGCTCCGCGTCGCGCGCGCTCAGCCGGCTCGCCCCTGTGCCCCTGGCCCGCGCGTTGCGCGCCTCCTCGGCCCCGCCCCCGGCGCCAGTCCCGCCTCCCACCGGCCTCGCCGGCCCCGCCCCCACCCCCACTGCGCCCCCAGCAGCTTGTGGAGTTGGAGCTGTACCCGCGGCTGCTGCTCACTTCCTTCGGGAGGTAGCAGTGGCAGGTCGGCGCAGCCCTGGGGCCCAGAGGGATTAGGAAACAGCCTGCAGCCACCCCGTTTGGGGCGCGAGTATTCGACCGCCTCGTCTCACGGAGTCGGCCCCAGGCCAAGCACTGGAATCCCCCAGTGGTGGAAGAGTCCCCCAGAGCCCGGGGTGGTGGTTCCTGGAGCACCGCGGGCGAAGCCTGCGTGGTGGGTCGTGAGCACCCGTTGGTTACGGTTGCCCGGTGGGGTTCGCCACTGTCCCAGACTCTCAGACACCAGGGCAATGGGAGCCTCGAAGAGGCCCAGATGTCGCAACGGGGGAAGTTAACGTCTGCTTTTCAAAAATCCCGAGGGTGAGCACCACGCCCCCTTCCTCCAGCCCTTTCGGTGCCGGAAATCGCCCCGAGGCTACAGGGCTCGGAAGACCTGAGCAGGTCCCCACCTCCCCATCTTCACCGTGCTGGGGAGGCCAAGGCGGCTCCTCCTGCCACCCCGGTTGTTGAGAGGTTACACGGGGCTGATAGGGGCCCATAGCCCTGGCTTCCTCACCCCTGCCCGGCTCTACAGCCCCAGAACCAGGGCATAGGTTGGGGTAGAGACCAGTTTGGCTAAGAAAACACGACTCCCGCTGGCCCTTGTGGGCACCTGGGCGCCTGCAGTAGACTTCCCAGAAGGTGTCTTGAGAGGAGAGGGAAGGCATCACTGGGTGTAAACAGAAATGTGGAAGCGTTGCCCAGTGACGGGACTGACCCACTGTTGCTCCCGCAGGGAGGTGGAGGTGCCCGAGGTCCTTCTCTCCTCCTCTCCCTCTTGCCCCCAGCCCCAGGCCCTCAGCCTTCACAAGCAGTGAGATCAGCTCTTCCCTGCTCCAACTAAACCCTCGGCAGCCCTGCCTCTGGCAGTTCTGTGGCCTGCCAGGGAGCGCCTCCATCCATTGCTTTCCTCGTGCGGAGTGCCCTTAACCTTTCCTAAAGCCATTTCACACATAATTTCCCAGGAAGCAGGGCAGGCAAGGAAGGGTTTTTATCTCAGTCTTGTGGATGGAAGGTGTGTCCCTTGAGAGGGACAGTAGGTTGGTGCAGGTGAAGACTGGCCTGGAGCCTGCCTGGACCTCCTGCCCCCCAGCCCTGGGGTCCCTCCACGTGGGCACTGAAGCCAGGCAGACCTTGTCTGAGGCCCAGAAACCTAGCCCCCTCCCTTCCACACACATACAAGCCGCTCTCTCGGCAGGACATTGCCAGCAAACAAGACCAGCCATTGACTGGAGCTCCACACTGGCCCGGAGGCCTGGAGGCTGGGCCGGGAACCAGGAGACCTATGAATGAGGCTGGGAGGGATGTAGGGATGTGAGAGGTGGGAGGGAGACTGCCTGCAGGGTGGGAGAAGAGAGAGGGGGCTCTGTACTGGGTGATGGGGCTGTGGACCCCACCCTCCTGGGAGATGGGAGAACCTGGCCCTCAGTGGACTAACCTGGTCCTGAGTAGTAGGCTGAGGTCCACTGATGGGCTGTCATTGGCCAGAGAGGGTCCTGAGGTATGGAACCCCGGGCAAGCTGGTAAGTCTGATCCCCAGGGAGGAGGAAGTGAGGAGGAACAAGTTTAGCGACTCTGACGGAGGAGGAGGGGGGGGAAGGAGGAGGAGGAACTAGTGGGAGAAGTGGAAGTGGCTGGGGTTGGGAGGGGTAGTGAGGAGGGGAGGGGCTGATTAGTCAAGAGCACCTTTGTCCTAGGGACAGGAATGAGGGTCAGGAGGATTGTTTTATCTGGTGTCCCCGAGGGCAGGAGGTTCTGAGGTCTTGGAGGAATTTGTGATGGGGCAGATGATGAGGGTGGGGGTGGGACGCCCCCTAAGGGGACCCCTGGATGCACAGGTTCTATACAGTGTTCAGGACTGAGACAAGAATTAACACAGGGGACTCTGCCTGGGTGGGCTGCAGGGTGGGAGCCGGGTATGGAGCCAGAGTTTCAGGCCACCTGGCCAGTGACAGAACGCCGGCCACCACAGACTAAGAGGAAGCTCCTTGTCCAGGTGGGTGGAGATCCCCACAAATGGGGCTGGGCTGGGGGCCGAGGAATCTATGGCTCAGAGGTGCCCCTATGCAAGGCTGGCCCTCAGGGGGCTTGGCGGGCATGGGCTCCACAGGGCCTGACAAGCAGGGCCCCAAGGGAAGGAACACAGACAGACATGGAGTGACAGGAGAGCACAGCTCCAGGGCACCCAGAGGGAAGCAGGGATTCCCCAGGAGCTGACGTCACATTCAACACACATCACACACTCAACCATAGTCTGATGGGTCTTTCAAAGAAGGAACAGATTCTCTTTCTGATGGGGTTGCTGGTCTGCCCAAGAGAACCGGGACACTGGGTTTGGGTTTCAGCAAAGCTCTGGACCCAGTCGTGGGATTCCTGGATGGAAAAAGGGGCAGAGACCCACTGCGTGCCAGGGGCCACACCCCACATTGGCAGAGCCCCAGCTCCCCATGTGTGCTGCTGCAGGCGCCCACCAACCTCTCCCTACCCCCCGTTACAGGGCACTAGCACCAGTGTGGTTGCAACTGTGTGTTTATTCAAAGCGTGCAAAGCTGAACATGCGAGTGCAAATTTAACTTAGGAGGATCTTCCTGTGGCCCCGAGGTGGTGTGCGAAGATGTTCTGCTTGGTCAAGGAGCACCTGGCTTCTCAGACCAGCCCGTGGATCTGAAGAGCTCATGGCACTGGAAACTCCTCACCTGGAGGCCAGAATCCCTTGCTAAAGAATAAAGCAAAAATCATAGTGGTCTGGGGGCAGGGAGTGGGTAACAGGAACTATCATGCCCTCTGGGGCTCCTTGGGGGTGGGGTGGAATGTGACAAAGGAAGGCTGTGTGTGGGGGGGGTGGACTCCAAAGACTGCTGGCCTGCGAGGAAGGGTCCTCTATCTCTTGGGAGGTGGGGGTGGGTCCTCAGGGAGCCGTAGGGGATCCCGGAGCCTGGCACAGAGAGGCCCAGGGGGATCCCACCCGGATAAACTATGACCAGAGACAGTGGGAAGTCAGAGTCACAGTGTCTCTGCTGCCAGAGCAAGTGGTCAGGCTGGGGGGCAGGGCCCCAACTGGGTCACCAGCTGAGACAGGGCCCAGCTGGCCAGGCCTTGGGACTTTCTGGGCCTGGGAGGCCAGAAGTGGCAGAGGCAGTCTTTTCAAGGGGCCCACGGGGACCTGGGACCTCTGGAACTCTTGGGCAGAGGGCAAGGGCAGTTTCCACAGGGGACTCTCTAGGGAAGTCTAAGTTATTAGAAGCGGCTGAATAAGCAGGGAGTGGGGATGCTGTCATCACTGCTGTGAGTGGGTGGCCCTGGGACGTCACTGCCACAAGTCCCCGGCTGCAGCCCCGTTGTCATTCTCGTGGAACTTGTGCAGGTGATCGGCAAACCTGAGGGGCACAGAAACCTTTGCTGTGATCAAGTGTCAAAAGGGGAGAAGTGTGTGTGTGTGTGTGTGTGTGAGGGGGTGGGTGGGAGACATAGAGACCCCCAGGGGTCATGCACCCTGTGATGGGGAGGGGGCTGAGCAGAGTGGGCATGTGGGAGCTGTGGGGGGACCCGGGTGGGGGGCAGTGTGGGGGGCCGGGGGGACAGAGGACAGAGGAGGAGCTCCGAGCTGCTGGGGCTCCGCGGGGGCCTGAGGTGGGACTTGGCGGGTGTCCTCACTTCTTGGCGCAGAAGGTGGTGCAGTCCCTCTCCATGCTCTCGCTCCAGGCCAGCTTGTAGAGAACCTGGCCAGGGGAGACTCCATGACCCACCTGTCCTGCAGGCCCGGCAGCCCTGTGGAGGGTCTCAGGGCCCAGGACAGAGGGGGCCTCAGATGCTCCTGTGTGGCCTGTTGCAGAGATGGTCAGACAGGCCCGCACACGGGCGCGCCACCCCTGACAGTCCTGGGTGCACCGCTAGCAGGGCCAGGGCACCCCGAGCCCTGGGGTCAGACTGGGAGCTCGGGCTAGCCATGTAGGGGCCATCGTGGCCGTGGCCTCCCTGGGGCTGGGGGTCTCCGAGGCTGGAGCCCTCCGCAGCCAGCCCTGTGCTCTCCGCTCCCCCAGCTCACGTAGCGTCATTAGGTGGCTGTGTGTGCTGTGCCCACGAACAGGAACGCCCCTCAGCACCTGAGCAGATTCACTTCAGAAGGTCCCTTCTTTGTGCAGCCCACCTGGCTGTCCCTTAGAGGAGTCAGTGAGACCCTCAGACTCCCAACAGCAGCCCTCCCGTCCATCAAGCCCGTCCAGGTCCAGGCCCCGGATGGAGTAGGCCAGGCCTCTTCCTCACAGGGGCAGGGCTGCTGCCCCAGCCACAGGGCCCGTTGGGTGGGCTTGCCATCCCCAGGGTGGGCTGAGGCCCTCAAAGGGGAGAGAAGTGGCGAAGAGCAGCTGGTGGGGCTTGGGGAGGCCTGGGTGCCAGGTCACAGCATCAGAGTCCCTTTCGCCCCTGGGAGTCAGGGGCGTGGGGAATGCTCTGCGGCCGCCAGCAGAGGCTCACCAGGAAGACCAGGCAGTGCAGGAACAGCGTGTAGAAGAAGCCGATGGTGCGTGCCATCTTGTTCGAGAGAACCAGCCGTCCCTGAGGAGCGAGAGAGGTGTGGGATGGGCACGGGACAGGCCTCGCGCCCTCCGGCAGGGCTGCCCGGGGCTCCTGCGGAAGGGGCCCTGGGGCGGCAAGGGCAGGGAAGGAAAGCAGCCGGCTTCCATTCCACTGCATTGGCTGGGGGCTTGGGCTCCAGGAATTCTAAGGAATGGCGCCCCCCCCCCCCCAGCAGGATTCCAGAATCTGACAAATGGTGCTCTGAGAGGAGCTGTCCCAGACGGGAAGGGGACCCTGTTCTGGGTCATA